TGCATGGAAAGAATCGATAAATTTTTATGGTTTGCCCCCCCCCCAAACCTCTGAGTTGGATCCGCCTCTGAGTTAGACAAGCGGCTGCGCCACTTGCTTTGCTGCGTGGTAGGAAAAAATTGCGGCACCAGCCAATTTGCTTTCGAATGGTGTTCGATTCAAATCGATGTGTCGTCTAGAAGCATAGATATGGACGGAAATGTGAAGAGAATTTAAGAAGAACTGTTCTGAGGCCTTTGTTAGATGAAATTTGGCTGATACGGGGTCAAGACGGGTCAAAGGGGTCAGCCCCGGTCACTTTGGGTGAGGCCAGGTCACATAGGTCAACTCTCGTTCGATGGGATCAGCACGGGCCACTGTTCTACTTTTGCCTCCACCACTACCCCTACCACTACCCCTACAACTACCCCTATCACTACCCCTACCCCTACCACTACCCCTACCCCTACCACTACCACTACATCTACCCCTACCCCTACCACTACTACTACTACCCAGTACCCATACTCCTACCCCTACCACTACCCCTACTACTACTCCTACTACTACCCCTACTACTACCCCTACCCCTACTACTACCCCTACCACTACCACTACACCTACCCCTACCACTACCCCTACCACTACCACTACCCCTACCCCTACCCCTACCCCTACCCCTACCCCTACCCCTACCCCTACCCCTACCACTACCACTACCACTACCACTACCTACCACTGGGTCATGTCAGGTCACAGACTAATTGAATCCAATAGGTACTAAAAAACAAGCAGACGTAAAGTGCTCCCAGCCCTGCCCCTATTCGTGCCATTCCATTACCCTTAATCGTATTTTTTGGAAATGGCGCTTTGTGACAAATGTGGCGCATTGCGGCAAACGTGGCGCATTTTATCCCGGTGATTGACCATGCATCGTTGCACCAAATTGCACCCATATCGGACCATATTTGACAAAACTGTGCGATTTGCGGCAAAAATGACGCCTTGTGACCAATGTGACGCCTTGCAGCAAACGCGGTGCATTTGTGAATTCCATCACAAACTGTTCCCATTGAACGAAAATCAACACATTCCCTCGTCACTTTTTATTCAAATTAAAAACTTGCCCATCCGCCAATGCGAGGCACCCGCCACCGATCGCCATGCATCTAGCTCACAAAGTTTGTCGACCCCGGCTCTCAAACCGATCAAAATTTCATCGGCGTTCTTCCAGCGCGCCCCACGCGCGAACCGTGCACCCCAGCGAGTCGGAACCTAGAAAAGGCGCTGACCCGCTCTGTCACCTATAAGGTGTGCAAATTTCAGCCCCCTGCGCCGTACCGTCTGCCCTGTAGGCGAGTGGAATTGAACCCACTACACGATGTGCGGACAAACAGACAGACAGATGGATCCTGTTCAAATAGTAAGTTACTGATGATGATGATGATGATGATTTGCGAGGCTACAATTAAACTTGGAATGTAGCTTACATGTTTTGTGTTCCCTGCAGCCCCAAGTTTATCTTTTGCTGTCTACCCCTGGATCATTCCGTATTTAAAAATCGTCAGTCAAAGCCATCTGTTGAAATTGGTAAAACCTCACATTAATATAGCGGTGGACAATTCTCTAGCTAGTGTTAAGCCAATCGGCTTATAGGGATGTTTTTTGTGTAGACCGTCAAAAGTAGCGGCTGGCAGACGGATCGAACTTTGGAGGGAGGGCTGTCATTTAAAAATTAGGCGATTTAGAGACGAATGACTTTTGGTTGGGGCTTCAGCCACCTTTCTTAATACGTTTCACTGAATAACTCCGAAATTTAGAAAAGAACTCATAATCCCTTTAAAATTGTGAAAACACCAAAATTAGACAGATCATCATCAAAACGCTACATTAAATATCTTTAGTTGAATATTTTAAGCTCATACCTCTCATTTACATCACAATCTGAATGAATAATATCAGTAACTAGCGCCAGACACACGGTATCTAACAATTGAAAATAATCCGCAGATGCTAGCATCAGACACTTTGTTACGGAGCGAGCGAAGCGAACGTACTCTTTCTTAGATTTAAGTGTCCATCCCACCTTAACCCGCGCCCCGCTGGGCTATTCAGCCATACGCGCCCTGCTGTGGGGGGGGGGGGGCAGATTCTGCCCCCCCCCCATCTGTCTAACTTCCGAACCGATGGTCGTAGAAAGACGCGGAAAACGGCAATCGAAAGCTTTCAACAAGGCGGATCCTTCAGAGCCCAATTTTTTTTGCTTAAGTAGGTCAGAGGTCAGGTCAAGGTCAGGTCAAGGGTACAAAATGCAAGTTTCTACAGTATCGGCCTTGCACCGTAGTTGCCGAAGAATGGACTGAGACTGATTGCCCAAAACGTGTTCTTAGACTACCAAGACAATATTCGTTGCACACAATGTCATTCAAAGGTCAAGGTCAAGGTCAGGTCAGGTCAGGTCACCAAAAACAAAATATAGAAAAGGGCATGTGCGACACATGTTTTATGGGTCATTTTACTCATAGAATTCAATAGGCACACTCAATAAGTGATATGGACCACCTTTGGATGAATTTCAGGTCGAGGTCAGGTCAAGGTCAGGTCAAGTGAGGTCAAATTTTGAAGTTGATTGTTAAGGCCTAAAAAGGTGTCTATCTGATGCAGTTTTTCACGGCAAATCGAATGGTGCTATTTTTGTTTCCGGACGAGGTCTAGAACTTCCAAACAAATCATTTTATTTAAAAAAAAATGTGTGTCGTGACGTCATAAAATTTTGAATAACTCCCACATTTTTTAACCGATTCTTCTAAAAATTGGTATGTAGGTGCACATGGACCACTTCTCTGACATATATTCCGGTTTTTTCGATACACTCAAAATTTTGGATTTTTTAATTATTTTCCCAAAAAATTCAGTTTTTTTAAGAAAAAAATTGGGCCAAAATCCAAAATTTTCAAAATACCGAGATAGCCATTTGATAGACAATGTAGAATCACGTATAACCTTTTTTGTTATGTCTTGATTTCTTTAAAAAATGAAGATGTTAGCGGCGTTTGAAACTTTGCCGTTTTTTAGGCGAAAATTGCAAACATGACGTCATTAAAACGTCAATTTCTCAAAAAAATTCCGACGGATTTCGCTCAAATTTTCAGAGAACATGTCAAATTGATGTATGATAAGGTACTGAAAGTTTGACGTCGCTGGCGTAAGGCGTTTAGAAGTTATTAGCGAAAAACGGGAGGGGGTCAGATTCTGCCCCCCCCCCCCAGCGGGTCGCGGGTTAAAGGAAATGGTTCACTTTTAGCATGGGGTTTTGAACTGAAATAGCAGTCTTGTAGCTTGCGCTGAGACTAGCACAAATCATAAGCTTTTACGGCCCAACGATCACCCTAAGCAAAAATATTCAATTTCCCGTTCCAAAAAGAGTGTCTAAGGCAGGAATGTGGTGTCTGGTGGTGTCTTAGAAAGGAATGCAGTCACGTCATCGTCAGCCAATCAGCATGCTGCTTACAGCCAATGCAGCATGCGTACTGCGTAGGTTTGAACTACGCAAAGTGATTGGTCAACGCGTAATAAGCTTCCGCGTCAAAACATCATTCTACATAGAATATAGTTCTTCCTATAATAAAATATGGAAAATAATTGTTTTTACAGAAAGGTTTTATTTTATTTTCTGATCATTTTGAGCATAAAAAATCATAAATCCATAGCAAAATCCTAATTTCAGGAAAGTGAACTATTTCCTTTAACATTGGTTTTCAGTTGAGACAGCCAAAATGGGGTTCCTAGCTTGCACTTACCGGTTTGAGCACTCACAAGATCGAGAAATGCCTCAAACCGAAAATACCTAATTTCAAAGTTGCAACACTTAGATTCAGACTCAGAAGGGCTAATGCATTAGAATGCCCCCTCTGAATGTGTGACGTCAGCGCAGATCTAACGATTTTAAATCTTTTACTAAAACATTTGGTAGCACGCGGTGGTATATGCTACTTTGCGTGCAACAAGTGCCGCACCTTCAAACAAAGTCGCTAGGAACAGCGGAGATCCCAAAAAGTAAACAAAGTTTAAAGTCTTATATCTTGAGAACCGGCGAATATTTTTCGATTAAATTTGGTAGATATTCGTTTCCGCTCTTTGTGAACCGAGCGACATCACTTTCATGCCAATTCATTAACTTTTTTGAAGGTGGGAACTGGGAGGGTCCCTTTAACGGAAATTTCTGAGTATGAGCGGCCGGCCGGCCGTGCGGACGCTTTTGCGAGGCTTATGTATCTCAGCAACCACTTGACCGATTTACATGCGGTAATTTTTGTAGGGTAGCTTCATTCCTTCTACCAAGTAGGTATTGGACTATTCCCGATGCATGTGGTTGGCTCCTTATGCACGTGACACTTGCAAAACGAAGAGGTGTCAGTTTTGTAACAATTGCAATATCTCGGTAACTACTGGGCCGATTGCGCTGAAAGTTGGCATGTAGGTAGGCACCCACTAGGCAGTGCATATCCGTGTGCCACAGTTGGGGTGCTGCTGCACGTGCGCACGTGCAGGGGTCGATTCCAGATCTCGAGAACGGCTGAACCGATTGCGCTGAATTTTGGTACATGGTTAGGGACCGTTTGGCAGGGTGCCGTGCAAAAAGTCAATTGGGACCTATCATGCACGCGCGCACGTGCAGGGTGCCGTTTCCAGATCTCGAGAACGGCTAGGCCGATTGCGCTCAAATTTGGCACATCGCCAGGGACCGGTTAGTAGGGTGCAGTGCACATTTACAAGATAGTTGGAGGTACCCCTCGCAATTTCGCACATACAAGGCCCACCCTCTCGCTCGCTCCGTTGGTCGCCCCAAAAGGCGTTTTACTGGTAACGTACACTGTATTGAGTGTCTCGTATACTCCTCAGTGAGCCTAAACCCAAAGTGTGTGTGTGTGCGTGCGTGCGTGCGTGCGCGCGCGCGGGCGCTTGCGTGTGGAGAGTCCTACAGCGGGCGGGCACTGACGGTCGCCCCTGAACCCCGCGAGATGTGGACGAGTGCGCCGAGGGCCTGGACAACTGCCCGCTGGGAGACGAGTGCATCAACCAGATGGGCAGCTTCAGGTGCCGGCCGCCAGCGCGCTGTCCGCCCGGCTACCGGCCCAGCCTCCTCTACGGCGTCGACTGCGAGGGTAAACCCCGACCCAGAGCAAAGCACTGCCTGCTCGACCGCTGCCGGCCGCTGCACTGGGACGCTGGGACGCCCATTCCACTGGAACGCTGTTTTTGCAAGGACACTCTGTTCATTAGAAGGTTGTTTCCCTTGGTACGCTGAGTCCGGTGTGTCCGCGGGGCACTGGGACGCTGTTTCCGCTCACTGGGACGCTGTTTCCGCTCACTGGGACGCCGTTTCCGCTCACTGGGACGCTTTTTTCCGCTCACTGGGACGCTTTTTCCGCTCACTGGGACGCTGTGGCGGCTAGGGTACGGGGACTAACGGCTTCCAACGAGCTGGGCTGGCTGCCGCTGCCGCTGCCGCCGGGCCAACCCACCGCCCGCTGAGACCATCTAACAATAACATGCCTGCGCCCCCTCACGCACACAAAACGCTGATAACGCTTACATCAACACAGATAACAAATTCAGCATGAAAAGAGAAATATCACACTAGTTAATCCGGTCACAGAAACCGTTACGCTATTAAAATAGCACTTAAATTGCATTTATTTATTAATAAGGCTCACATTTTGGCACACTTTTTTGAATGCATGCACTAAATTCGCATTGATAATTATCAAAAGCCACACTTCGGAGTCGATCGATCGCTGTGTAGGTATTCGTTTGTAAAAGCTGAGTTTCGGATCATCTTGATCACTTCTCAAAGCTATGGTAGAAACACACATGACAACACGGCACACGAAATTTACGACAAGATTATGCTCTTTTTGTTGACAGGCGTACATGATAACAATTTTTAGGAGCTTCTGTTGCCACATTTTGTTTTAGGCCCATTGCGAAGTCCTGAAGTCCATGCTACTGAAAGCCCGCTTTGAGGTGTTTGACCTGACCTTGACCTGACCTGTGACCTCAAAATTCAACTTTAAAGTACTTATCTGAAGCGTCTCGTCGCGTTATTTCGTTTGCCGCCTCGTGCGTTTCGCTGCGCCTATTGGTTCTCGAGTTATCGGCTGGGGGCGTTTAACGCCCCCCCCCCCCCCAGCAAACGGTGGGTGACGAAATACCCCAGCAACTGCCGGGTTAAAGGGTTGAGGATGCGATCGATTTATTCGTATGCATGCCTGCTATGATCCTCTAAAATGGCTTCATCGTATATCGTTATAGTTTCTGAGATAAAGCTGGAAATGTAAAAAAGCAAAACCTACCGTTTAAACCCGCGAGAGCCGCTTATAGGTGTTCACAACCGCCATGTGCCCTGCCATGGTTGTGCCGCCTGTTGACGCCCCCGTAACGACGGACAGACATCGACGAGTGCGCCGAGCGTCTGGACAACTGCACTCGCGACCAGGGCCAGCTGTGCCAGAACACCGACGGCGGATTCAACTGTATCGTCCGCTGCGAGCTCGGCTACCGCTTCTCCCCGGCCCGCGGAGGCTGCGCAGGTCTGTGGGAGGCCTCGCTGGTCTGTGGGAGGCCTCACTGGTCTGTGGAGGCCTCGCTGGTCTGTGGGAGGCCTTGCTGGTCTGTGGGAGACTTCACTGGTCTGTGGGAGGCCTCGCTGGTCTGTGGGAGGCCTCGCTGGTCTGTGGGAGGCCTCGCTGGTCTGTGGGAGGCCTCGCTGGTCTGTGGGGAGGCTGAGCAGGCCTGTGGGAGGCCTCGCTGGTCTGTGGGGGAGGCTGAACTGGTATGTGGGAGGCCTCTCTGGTCTGTGGGGAGGCTGTGCAGGTCTGTGGGAGGCCTCACTGGTCTGTGGGGAGGCTGAGCAGGCCTGTGGGAGGCCTCACTGGTCTGTGGGGATGGGGAGGCTGTGCAGGTCTGTGAGAGGCCTCTCTGGTCTGCGGGGAGGCTGTGCAGGTCTGTGGGAGGCCTCTCTGGTCTGTGGGAGGTCACGCCTCACCGGTCAGTGGGAGGCCGCCCTGGTCTGTGGGAGGTCACGCCTCACTGGTCTGTGGGAGACCTCACTGGTCTGTGGGGAGGCCTCACTGGTATGTGGGGGAGGCTGCGCAGGTCTGTCGGGGAGGTTGTGCGGGTCTGTTTTTGGAATGATGTCATCACACCTTGTTCTTCCCAACAGCCATTAGCCAAATTAAAATAGCATAATCTCAGTTGAAAAGACAATCCAAAGTACGCTTCCTACAACACATGTAAAATCACTTGCATCTGTAATATCCGCCGCCGTCGGCTCTCCCAGTCCCAGGGTCCCAGTGACGGCCCAGTGAAGGCCCAGTGACGGCCCAGTGACGGCCCAGTGACGGGCCCAGTGAAGGTCCAGTGACGGCCCAGTGACGGCCCAGTGACGGCCCAGTGAAGGTCCAGTGACGGCCCAGTGACGGCCCAGTGACGGCCCAGTGACGGGCCCAGTGAAGGTCCAGTGACGGCCCAGTGACGGCCCAGTGACGGCCCAGTGACGGCCCAGTGAAGGTCCAGTGACGGCCCAGTGACGGCCCATTGACGGTCCCAGTGACGGCCCAGTGACGGCCCAGTGGAGCAGGAGGGACCACCAGCCTTCCCGGCTGAACCGCGGCGCTGCCGTTATTTGCTGCCTTACGCACTCACTGCATTTGTTTTGCCACCTTGCTAGCCACCTTGTGCTCATGAGACCACGACGCGTAGATTTTGAGCTATTATGAAAAAGTTGTTTTTTCGTTACAACTATCTAATGTAAGAGGCGTAAGGACGATGTAATTTAGCCGCCTTTCTTGCATCATTAACTTTTATTTGCACTTCTCTCTGAAGAATAATGCTATATTCACACTCTAGGACAGGCAATGGCTCGCAATGTTAGGCTATGTCCGCGCACCGACGTTGGTCCGGGCCAACTTCGCACAGACGGGGTTGGATAACGGCTCCCCCATTAATATCTCTAAAATGGAGCATGCTACCAACAGGCGGTATACGGTATTGGATACAAAAGGACAAGGGCTTATGCCTAAACAGACTCTTTCCGCAGTCAGGAAATCGCACGCGAGCAAGGCCGTATAAGTTAGGTAAGATCGTCCGGGCTCGCTAATGTTACAAATCTGCAACACTACGGTGACGTCACCGGGGCATACGCTCCCTGGCTCCATCCGGACCCTGATGCGGCGGCTGGTATCGCTGCTAATCGAAAAATTACTTGTGCAATAGCGCTTTTAAATGACTTTAAAAGGGGGGAAATATGATAGCAAAATAATTATGAGAATCCCTTGTCCTGCCTGGGATTGTATGACCCCGCCACCTAGCGGACAACGTCGTAATTAGGGTTGAGTTGGCGATCGCCAGGTGGCTTGTCAGTAAGCTGTCAGCCGCAGACAGGAGAGGGGCCGTCAGGCGCTTAAAGGGACACTCCCACCTTAACATTAGTTTTGAGTTTAGATAGCCAAATTGGTGGCCATAGCCTGCAAATACCGGTTTGGGCACTCACAACATCGAAAAATGCTTTGATTCGAAGATATGGAATTTCAAACTTGCAGTTTTCGGATTCTAAGGGGCTAATGCATTGGAATGCCCCCTTAGAATTTGTGACGTCAGCGGAGATCTAACGATTTTTAAATCTTAGACTAAAACCATCGTTAACACGTGGTGGTATACGCTGCTTTGCGCGCAACGCCTGCCGCACTTTAAGGCTGCCAAATTATTGCTTCCAAATAAAGTCGCTAGTAACAGGGGAGATCCCAAAAAGTAAACAAAAGTAAAAGCCTAATATCTTGAAAACCAGTGAATATTTTTCGGTGAAATTTGGTAGATATTCGTTTTCGCTCTTTCTGAACCAAGGGACATCACTGTCATGCCAATTCATTAACTTTTTTGAAGGTGGGAGGGTCCCTTTAATATTATGTAAACGCCAGATCATGCTCAGGAAAATGCGACACGCTTCAGAACGGTCATTTATCTCGAAAAAGATGCGGTGCCCTGTGGTGATATGGTCCACATGACTCAGGATCCGTAGGCCGTACGGCCTACGGGTCCCGAGTCATCAGGGGCCTTATAAGACCCCTGTGGTCACCGGCAGCTCCCAAGGCCCCTACGGACGCGATACATACTTCGAGAAATCGCTAGACAAAGGACTCAGGGGCGCAGCCAAGGGGAGGGGCACACTGGGCTTTAGCCCCTCCCAAATCTAGCAGGCGCTTTCCACGATCATATTGTGCGCCGATGGCGCCTTTACAGTGTCCAGCACTCTAGTCGCCCTCAACAGCACGCGAGAGCCTATTCAAATGCATGGAAGCACGCTCGCATCAATCCCACGCACCTCCCGCAAGCGAAAGAATTATAATGTATTTGAATAGGCGTGGTGGCCCGTAAGCCAAAAATACCATGAACCATGAACTAGAGCACTTCATGGGCCGGATAAATCCGTTATCCACGGATAAATCCGCGGACCGGATAGGATTGGATTCTAAATTTGTTAAAAAAGAACGGATATGGGCGGGCCGGATTTGGGAATTGAAGGTTGAACCCGGATCAAAACGGATCAAAATTTTAACATTCAACATTGAAGTTAAAAATTGATACCTAGTTTACCAATGTGGTGAATTTCATGTGGTTTTAGGTTTATAAGCATGGTTTTTGGAACCATGATGGTCTGTGAGATGTATGGCTGTCTAGTCCCTTAGATTGAATTTGTTAGTCCAGTTTTGGGTGAAACCAGTTATTGGTGAAACGGATTATTACGGATATTTTTTGGAAGTTTGGCTGCAATACGGGACATGGGTGGGCCGGATTCTGATATTCAAAGAAAGGCGGATAATGGGCGGATCTGGATATGACTTGCCGGATATGGGCCGGGCCGGATCCTAAAAAGCCTATCCGTGAAGTGCTCTACCATGAACCATGCTCTCGCATGCTATTTCCTGAACGGGGAAAGAGTCTGTTTGAGCCTGGTCTGTCTTAATTGCATGGAAAGAGTCTGGAAAGGAAAAGAAAGAGTCTGTTTAATTGCATGGTGTGTCAAAAGTGGAAATAGCCGGTGCGCCGCGCGGCGTCCCGGCAGCCCGCCGCCATAGGGAAATTCATGCCTTTTGTCGCTTTTTCGCCCCTTATTAGTCACTTGATCAAATTAGAGCTTAACCAGGAACGAGGCGGATCACTTGGATGTATTCGGGAGCCGAATACGTTGTTTTGGAGTCAATACCTGAGAAACCCTATCCGCCCAATGTGAGTTTTTAACCCGCGCGGGGCTGGGGTCTCCAGCCGAACGCGCGGGGCTGGGGGGAGGTAAATTTTACCCCCCTGTTATCTCCCGAACTAATGGTCCGATTTGGAAAAATCAAACGCCAATCGAAAGATCTCATCACGAACAACTAACAACATGTACTTAATTTAAAGTTTGAGGTCAAGGTCAAGGTCAAAATTGTTATGTTTTGGTTCGTTTCGAGTGAAAGAGCACACAATCAATGGAAAACGCGATTTATTGTACTGCGATACGTTCAGGCCGAAAGAGTGTCCAAGAAGAAAAACAAGTATGGCGAGCGCCGCGGTTAGTCACCCGCGCCAGTCATGCCGCTCGGCGCGCACAGTCAGCTGGCGGCGGCAGAGGCGCTCACAGGCACGGAGCCGGGGCGGCCAGCGGTGGCGGCGGCAGGGGCGCGCGCAGGCGCGGCCAGCAGCCGTGCGGGGTTTGGACCATAACACAACACCTCCCCCCCCAAGACGATCACATCGTCTTCACCCCAAGGCGCCACAGCAGACCCTCCGGGGTCCGGGCGCACAAGGCCACCGCAACGCGGTGCAGACGGCGGCGCCTGCGCTCTCTTCGGCGGCGTCTCGGGCGCTTCTTGCAGCGGACGCGCCCACCGTCGCACGGAGAGGTCCGCGGCAGGCGTCGCTCCGGTGTCGGTGGCGGCCACGGGTCGCGGTCAGCGGCGGCTCTGGTCACCCCTAGACTCGGGTCCACGAGCGGCGGCAGACGCGCGTCGCACTCCGTATCCCGCTCAGCGTGCATAGCTGCGACGGCAGCTGCGTGAAGCGGGTCATCAACGTCCTCCCACACCTCGTCATCGACGGTCGGACCGAGCAGGTCATCCACCACCTCGACCGAGTGGAGGGTGGTGTTACCGAGGTTCGTGTCACCGCGCCGGTCGGACTTGTCACCGGCGGACACGCATCCCTGCAGCGTACGGAGGAGCGCGGCGGCGTGAGCCGCTACCGTTTGTTCGGGCGGGTCTCCGTCCCCACTCCGTACTGGCAGGCCTCCCGCCAGCGGCGGCGAGGCTCCGTGGGCGTCAGCCAGCTCGGTAGGCTGCGCCGCATGACTACAGCCGGCTTGGCCGGTGCTCGCCGGCGGCGGCGACTCGGCGGTGCTGGCGGCTGGGCCTCCATCCGTGCTTCGAGTTGGCATGCCTCCCGCCGGCGGCGGCGAGGCTCCGTAGACGTCAGTAGTTTCACTCAGCTCGGTGGGCTGTGCCGCACAACAGTCGGCTTGGCTGGTGTCCCCCGGCAGCGGCGACACGGCGTAGCCGGC